CTCCTGGCCCGCCCACTGCTCCTCTCAGCAGTGCACTTCGTCAATCTGCCTGCTCCTGTCCCCACTCTGTCTCTGGTGAATCCTCTCACCCTCCGCATCTCCAGCCTATACCCCAGTTCTGTATGAATAAATAAATCTTTATTAAAAAAAAAAAAAAAGGAAGGCAATGAAGCCAGTAAAGAAAAGCAAGCAAATCTACATGCTGAATGGTGATAAACCTGTAGTTTGTGTAGGTGGGATGAGCTCCTGCCTCCAGGGGTCTCGAGAGCAAGCACTACCTCTTCACGGTTCAGGGTTTGGGCTGGTGCCTCAAACCGTTGGCATGTCTCCCGGTGCTATAAGGTCTTCTGCTCAAACCAGCTGCTACCTCAGAAGCAACAGGCAGACTACTCTTGGTCACCATGTAACTTTTAGTGGAGACGCTAACTTGTGCTGAAAAGCCCTAGAATTTAAATTCCTTGATTCTCAACATTATCATCACCAAAAAATGCCATGCTGTATTCTGTTCCTTGTTGGGATTCATTCCTAGCTTCTTCCTCTCCTTGCCCGCCTTCTTATGTCCTCGACTGGCAAGTCACTTGCTTGGTAATATTTGTATTTCTATATCCTTCCATATGTTGATAACAGGCCCTAGCCTCACCTGGTAGGGCAGGTCCAGCCTGGCTGTTCTGTGTAGGAGATGAGAGGGGTGGATGCCTCCAACAAGGTCCCCGGCCCCCTGGGCCAGGTCAGGGGCCGCAGGCCTCACTCACCCGGCTCTTCAACCACATACAGGATGGACTTTCCACTGGCGTCTTCATAATACTGGAACCTGACCACACAGTCATCCTCATTCTTGTAGGTGCAGTTCACTGCATCCTTGCCCGTGTCCCCTGGGAGAATGAAAAATGGGTCAATGCCTGGAAGATGGGGCCACCCCACAAATCCTCCTCACAGGATTCCTGTAACACAGGAGACAGGAAACCCTACATCTGACACCAGGCAAGATGTTTACACTAAGATGGAGGCCGGCAGCTGCCTCCACATCACTCTGGTTGATGTATTTTATGCCTCACAGGCCATTTTTGGCTCTCTTTCCTTCCCCTGGAAGAGACACCACATAACAGCCTCTCCCGCCTACCCGTGGTGAGGTCTTGGGTAAGTTACTTGACTTCAAGTCTCTCTTCCGGCATAGAAGGAGCCACACCCTCCCAGGTCGAATGGAGCATTAAACAGCAAGGGTAAACACTGCCTCCCCACAGAGGGTGCTCCCTCCCTCCCTCTCTTTTCTCCGCTTGCTCAGTGATGCTAAACAGCCTGTGTTCTCCATCCTTCTACTTCCATACGTTTCTCTTTCTGCTTCTGAGCCCCTGTTCCTCTCCTGGCCCTGTGTTCCTCTCCAGAGTCAATCTGTCCTCCCTCATTCCCATCATGTTTACAGGCTTCGTCCCTCCTAATTCTAAGGCCTGCTGTTCTGACAGGGAAACTGTGGGTTACCCTCCACTGGGCGTCACCCTGCACTGTACAACGATGAAACCCAGTGGGTAAAAACTGGCACGCATTGAACAAAAGGACCAACGTCACACATCAAGTGAGGAAGTCAGTCAAAACAAGCACATCCCACAGATGTGAACTCAACCAGCTCTCGGTGAGCTGGGCATCACCACGTGGCGACCCAGAAAAGATTTCAAAACTTACTTCTGATCTTAACTAATGTAAGCAAAATTACTTAACTTTTCTGAGATTTAGTTTCCTCTTCTGCAAAATGAAAAGAATAGTATTCTATAGTCCTACTTGACTAGGTCATTGGGGAAGAATAAGAAAAAGTGCATGAAAAACTACTTTCATAATCTAAGTCACAAAATTCATACAAAGAAGCATTTACTTTTATGATTATCATGGCTGGGTGGAGTTGCAGAAAAAAAACACTTAACAACTAACTTATAACACCCACCTGGGCTAGACAGTAATAATAAAGATGTCTTGCATCTCAGCTGCCTCCCCCCAGGAATGAAGGAAAACAAGCCCCATCTCCTTCAGAGGAAGAACTTCCTCTTCAAACTCAACACCCAAAGAGCTACACTTCGGATATTAGCCAATGACACCCCCACCCAGAAATGTTTACATAACACTCCTGCCTAGAAGCTGACTGATTGGCTGTGGCTTCCACTGCAAAAAACGTAGTTCCTGCTTTCATAAGAGATTGCTCTCTTCCTGGCACCACCCATCCAGATAACATCACCCAATGGTCACATCAAATGAGCTGACAGCGCCCAGTTCTTCTTTCAAGTCAAGATGAATAAACCAGAGTAACAGGAGGCAAGAGCTGCTCACCACTGTATTTCTACACATCCCATTCCAGGGCCGTGCCAGAGAACCAAAAGGACTTTAGGACAACGATTTCGGTGACAAATCCGCCGCCAGGAAAGTGTGTGCCTCAGCTTTGCCTCGGCTTTGCGGAATTCTTACTCTCAGTTAAGCAGACTTCGCAAGTGCTCACTAGCCGGACTTGAGCGAGGTGGCGGCTACGCCCCCTTCTGCTCCTCAGTCTCTTCATCGTATAGTGAGGTGCACTAGCTTCCTTTGCTTGGGGAGGAAAATTAGGGTTGGCTGCTCCCCTGGAAGGATCTTGCTGAGTCTTGCAGCAGAAGGGGGAGGTCTGCTGAACACATTAGTAGAGACCCAGGAGGACTCCCCGAGAGTCAGCACGTGGCCGGCGCCTGCTGTATACCAGATCTGCACGGCATTCCGAGGCGTAGGCATGACTCCTCCACTTTACAGGTGGGAGTGGATGGCGTGGGGAGCAAGCGGAAGGTTTGTGAGCCACGGTGCTTACCGAGCTCCTTCACCTGCTGGATCTCATCGCGGCAGTAGCGGCTGCAGGTGTTTTCCTCATGGAGGGCTCCTCGGCCAAACTTCTTACACTCCACACACTCCCTGCAAGAGAAGGAACACGGGATGAAGGCGGAGGAAGAGCAAGCAGAAGGACGCTTCAGCTAGTGCTACCTCAGAAAACAAACTAAAAACGCCCATGCCACAAGACTTGGGGGTTCTATGCTCAGCGGTGGGCCGGCTCTCCTCACCCCTAGAGAGGGCCTGGCTGGCACAGGCTCCCAGGTCCTTTGTACAGCTTCTTCTGGTCCCGTCCAGGGCTGGGACAGGAGGCGAGCCCCAGGCCACTGTTAGGAGCCTGAAAGTCTAAACCTCTCCCCCATTTGGGGACCCAGAACAAAATGAAAATGTCAGGTCGCTTGTTTGGAGACCACTAAGAATTTCAAGACAGTGACAGTGGAGCATCCACCAAGGGTGGGCCCCACTCAGCACCCCGACACTGCGCAGGCCGCAGGCCCGTGGCTCCAGCCCTCTGGACGCGGTAGGAGAGGGCTCAGCCACAGTGCCAACGGCCGCTTCCACCGGGGGGTGGGTTTGCATGGGTGAAATTCTCCTGTTCCACATAGTGTTGTTCCTAAGTCCAGCTCCCCCCTCTCCCCCATCTCCCATGATCAGAATGTCAGCAGTGGAACACTCCCCAGAAGTTATCTGGGGTAGTTGTCCTCCCAACTCAGAGGGATCCAGGACTTCACCCTACAAAAGGGGGATCCTCCACGTGGAGTCCAGGCTTCCCCTTCAAGGTCTACCTCCAACCTTCCCCAAAGCTGGCAGTGGAAAAAAGAAAAGAAAGCCACCCCAATGGGGCAGACTCCGCTTCCTCAAGAGAACCTGGAGAGTTGGGGACTTGGCCCCTGCAGACACCCAATTCTCTCCAACTCACTTCGCTGCCCACTCACTTCTTAAAGGTGCAGGCATCAGGGCAGGTGGGACACTTCTCACAGGTGTCCCCGTAGGAGCCGGGCTGGATGCAGACGCAGCTGCCGCACTCACACTTGCCACGGCCACTGCACAGCAGGCCGTTGCTGGACATGCAGGTGTCGGTGCGTGTGGTGCAGTTGCAGTAGTAGCCAGTCCAGTCGGAGTCACACAGGCAGTCCCCACAGCTGCACTGGCCATGGCCTGAAAGCACACAACCGGGGGCGGCCAGCTGGTGAGGGGCCACCCAGGCCGTGGGCTGCACACCCGGCTCTCCTCGCTGGACATAAAATGCTCCTCCTGGCTGGCAAGCAGCTGGCTCACCATCAGGGCGCCCTCCCCACTGGGGCAGTGCTCCAGGTATCCCAAGGCATGGCACTGCGTTCACTGGAGGGCAAAGGATTCTCAGAAACTAAGTCCCAGCCCTTTCTCTTGCCCAAGGCTGAATCCCTCTGCCTTCTCTGCCAGCCTCAGTCTGAGGCCTAGTGGTAAGCTCTTTAGCCCTGCAAGCTGGGGTGGCACTAAACCCAGACGGGGCACTCAGTGGCCTTGATAGTGTGACCTGATGTGAGCAAAGGCCTCTCCGATCCCAAAATTCTGACATAGGACTCCTGCTCTCTCCTGACCTGAGAGGCCTACCCTCATCACCCCATTGGGTCAGACAACCACCAGTTTGAACATGCTGGCTCCCTCTACTAGCAGAGAATAAACAAAGCCTCTTCTTGGCTTGCAGAGGGCCAAGGCTGTTAGATAAAACCTGTGAATGCCATAGAGAAAAGCAGCAAGGAAATGAGAGAAACCAGATGAATGGGAGCTTTTTCTGAAGTGGACAGCAGCAGAGACAACCTCTAGCAATGACCTCAGGTAGCTGGCGGCCTCCTGTAGGCCAGCCTTCCTCCTGGATCTGGACTGAAAGGCCGCAGAAACCACTCAGCTGCCTCTTGGGCTCACCAACACCACTGCCTTCCCTGTCCAAGTCCTCTCCTCAGCATCACAGGTGACCTTGGGGAGGGTGGTGGGACAGCCCTTAGAGGCAGTTAGAGAAAAGAACAGTACCTCTTTTGCAAACTAACCATGGAGATAAGTATTCCGGATGGACAGAACTAGACAGACATTTGACTTGGCCTTGGGAGGTCAGGAAAAGTTATCTGTAACATTTGAGTTGGGCCTGGAAGGGTGCATAGGAGTTGGGCAGTGGCCACCTGGTAGAAGGGAACAGCATGAACAGAAGTGTGAGGGGTGAGGATAGTGCAGATGGGCAGTACACTGTGGTAGCAAATGTGGACACTGTGATGGGAGGCGGAGCTGAAGGCAGTTTGGCCCAATTGTGAAGATCTAGAGTGTTGGGCTATTGGACTTTGGACTTGGCCTCCTGGACGGTGCAGCATGCGTAGGTCTGTAAGCATGGGATGGCAGGACCAAGCTGACCAAGGCTTTAAAACTTTGTTTCTCATCAGAGAAGGGGCTGTTTTGTTTCCCAGAGGGCATGTGGCAAAGTCTTGTGACATTTTTGGTCACAACTGGAAAGTCGCTACTAACAATTTTAGTGAGGAGAGGCCAGGGACACCCTTAAACATCCTCCAACACACAGGATAGTCCCCCACAATAAATAATTATTGGCCAAGTGCCAGTCAGGGTTGAGGTGGGGAGCCGTGTGTTCAAAGGCGACTATGGCTACAGGGAAGGATGGACTGGACGGACGGGGCCCTGGCGAGGAGGAGGCAAAACATCCCCGGGAAGATAGTGGGAACAAGGTCGGCAGCCCCTGCTATGAAGCCTGTCTGTACAGCAGTGATACCAGACTGGAGGGAGCTTGGGGAAAGAAGAAAGCCTGCCTTGGAAGTACAGCTTGTGGCAAGAAACCAGGTACACATGACTTATTGAGGAGTGGGGAGATGGAGGGAGGCAGGACAGGAGTTAACAACTAACAGGAATGTGGGTCAGCAGGGACCCCCTCCAGTCTGACCCCACAGTGGGATCAGAGCACCCCAGAGCTAGCCTCACTGGAGGCAAGGCAACCGGCCTGTGCAACCTCTTGTCCATCAGTCACTGGCAATTGTCAGAGAAGAGGCAGTTATGAGCTTTACCAGCTGCCTGAAAAGCAGCTGGAGGATGTGTGAGCCAGCCCACCACTGGGGTCCACAAAGCCCACGGTCCCCAGACACTGTGCATGGCTCCCCGGGGAGAGGCCTGCCCAGCAGATGCCTGGCAGACTCAAGAGGCCTCCGCTTCCTCAGACAACCTCCTCCTAGTGCTTCCTTTGTGGACTAAACAAAGTGATCTTTGAGAAAAGGGTCTGCCAGGCCAGCCAAGGAATGAGGTTAGGAATGGAAGCCTCAGGCCAGAGCCAGCAGGCTGACCCCAAGCCCTGGCAGGGTCAGCCCCTAAAAAGGAGCCACAGTGTGGTAATGTCACAGGGCAGGCCCTCCTCCAGTCAAAGGAAGGCTGAGCCCAAGCCCAGAGAGAAGCCAGAGGAGGTGGGTAAGAAGTGAGGGCAAAGTGTAATGAAGAGAACAGAGCAAGGAAAGCAGCATGGGAGTGAGGAGCAGGAGAGGAGAGAGCATCACACTGCAGGTAGGAGGGAAGGCAATGGCTCTCCCTGTGGCGCTTGACTTTCTGGGCTGAAGCCTCACTCACTCCTCTTCTTAAGAGCCAGCTCTGCCTCTGACATCCCCCCAGCTCTTCCATGAAGCCACAGGCCTCCCCTGCCCATGGCAAGTCTCTTTCTAAAAAACCCCTATACGACCCCTGAGGCTCTGCCTGGTGGCTCTGCCTGGTGCTGTGAATTATCCTTAGGTAAACTCATCACGGGTGAAACCAGCTTAGTCATGCCTCTCTGTTCCAAACAACACGCAGCACAGGACCGGGGGAGCCCGGCCAAACTATGTTCATGGATAGGGCAGGTGGAAGAGTTCCTGAGGACAAAGGCGCACACCCTGATATCTGAGGCAGGGGTGCTGAGAACAGACCATCACGGAGATCATGCACCCAGTGGCTAGGACAGGAGGGACGTGGGGGCTCTGCAGACACACAACTGCATGAGGCCGCGCTTGCAGCAAGACCACACGTCCAGCAGCTCCAGGGAGGGGCGACCACGAGCTAGGTCAGGAGTCTCAGAGGTGAACTGCTCACCCATAGGGACCGAGCACCTGGCACATAGAGGGACAGTGTGTCCCAGAACGTCTGTCACTAGAGAAGATAATGGCGGCACCACAGGGTGCACACCTGGGGCCTGGCAGGGAGGGCGGAGGGAGGCCACTGAAAAGCTGCCCAGGATCCTTAATGCTGGACTGGAGCCCAGGAAGACAAGCTGTTCTCACACCAGTGGGAGGCAGGAACCAGGGCCACTGACCCAGGCAGCTTTGTTTTGTGGCTGCAGTGGGGCCGGCAGCCAAAGGAAACACACTCTGGCCGGGCTCCCTCCCACACTGCCTCATGCCAGACCAGGATCCCCAGGGCTGCCTCGGCCCTGGTGCCCCGAGGGGCTATCTGTGAGTCTCTCCTAGGGCAGCCTTCTCCCTCCAACAGGAAAAAGAAATCCTGCCATGGGCATGGAATACCGTTAACTCAGCTCTGCACACCGAGCCTCCTGGTGCCCACCTGGAGCCCTGGACATGTTTTCAGAAGCTGCAGGTGTGTGAGAATGTGGGACCCCGGGACAGTGGAGGGGGTGCAGGTCTACTCACCAGAGCACATCTCCCCCTTGTAGCGGACGCAGGAGAAGTCATCACACTCACAGTACTTGCCCGTGATCTTGCCAAAGTCGCTGCTGTGGCAGACACACTGGCCACAAAGGCACTCGCCCCGCTGGCTGCAGATGGGCTGGCCCTCACGGGGGCTGCACTCGTCCTGTTGCGAAGGCCGGTAGTCCTCTTCTGAGCACTCACACTGGGACCCCAGCCAGCCAGGCCCGCAGCGGCACATCCCACACTCGAAGGTCCCATTGCCGTTGTTGCAGCGGCTGCTGAAAGGTTCTGCCTCGGCCTGGCAGGCGCAGTCACAGTCAAAGGTCACCTGGACGGTGAGACTGTCCTTGAAGCCCACGGGCTTAACGGTGAAGGATTTCTCCTTCTCCTGGGGGCAGCCCCGCACCTTGGCCTCGATGCTGAAGCTCACCTGCATAAAAAGCAAGATCATATTCCAGCCCAGGCAGACCCTACACTCCAGCCCAGACAGGAAGCTGCTCCCTGCCCTGCCTGAGATGCCCAAACTGGGTGTCGTGTCCTCCTGCTACCTGGAGTCCTCCGCCTTCCCTCTGCCTAGGTTTGCAAGGCCAGTGCACAAGTCCCAGGAGAGCTGTGCAGTGGTGGCATAGCTGGCTGGGTGCAAAGACGTGGCCCGCTGTCAGGAGACAGGTGTGTGTTTTTATGCCATAGGTGAAATCTTGTCACCCTCTGCATGGCCACTGAGTGAGCTGGCCTGACAGCATTACATCAGCGAGATGCACGAAGCTCTCCTTTGTACCACACAATGCCACACTGTGAGCAAGCTCAGGCCCTACTGTTCAATTTCCATATAACATTGCACCACTCATGCGATCAAATGCATCTTAGACCGGTATTTCTGACAAGAGGTGTGTGCAGGTGTGCCGAGATCACAGAGACATGTGGATGGAGGTGGGTAGGGATCTACACATGAGCAAAATTCCCAAAGCTGTAATGGTAGATATATAGATGAGAGGGGGAGGTAGCGACACCCCCTTCCATTCGGTCCCCCTTCTCTAACCAATGAGGCTGAAGCTAAGGAAAATTATCCTTCGAGGAGGGAAAGCCCTGGAGGGCAAAGTGAACATGTGCATCCTTAAGTCCCCAAGACAGGCATTTTCCTGTTCTATTTGCCGATGAGCCTTCAGCAGCAGAGCAAGCCTGGTGCAAAACCTGTGCTCAGTAAACACTCAGAGCCCACACTGGCCTGTTAGCACTACCTGGCAGAGGGTGGGAAAAGCATTACCTTGGGGGAGGCTGGAGACTCGTTAGGAGCTGAAGAGAAGTATTTTCAATTGCAATTAATTATGCATGCACCACAGCCATGACCTAGATGTAAGTTGTAAAAAACCTGTGGCGTTTACTTAGCAGGGAAAGCGGAAGCACCCATTTCAGAGGCAACAGTGGCACCTCCATGCACCCACCTGGTAATGATCTTCAGGAAGAAAGTACAGAGAAGGAAGAGGCAGGGCACCCCCAGTCACTCAAGGGCGCAGGCCAGGGTCAGCCCCTGCACAGCCCAACTCACCGTGTCGCCGATCTTGAGTCCGACACAGGACTTGAGGCCAGGGATGACTTCGTTGTTGAGGCAAGTGGCGTTGAAGGACAGGGACAGCTCCTCTGGCAGGTCGCGCACTTCCAGCTCCACTTTAGAGCGGATTTTCTGAGCAGAAGGAAGAAGAAGGAAAGGACGTGTGTGGTGAAGACACGTCAGTTCCCTACTGGGTAAAAGTCAATTCCCTCCCAAGCAAAACCTACCAGGTGGCCCTGGACTCCCCCACATCTGCCAGCTGCCAGGGCACCCCAGAAGCCTATTTTCTGCCTGGGACCTCTCCCTGAACCAGCTATGCCAACTTGCAGACCTCATGGAGCTGCAGCAGGGGTGCCAGTGTGGGCGCCTTGAGTGTAGCACTTTCTACCTAATTTTTTTTAGACAATCTCATTCAATTTTTAAAAATTTTATATAATAGTTTATCTTTACATCATTTTGTGCATTTTTTCTCAGTTGTCTAATTTTTCATCAATCTCACCTTCCCACAACTCCACTCCCTCTTCTCTCTATTGTTGGGACCCAGCTCTCCGGCACCCTCCCCCCCACAACTTCAGGGCTCTGCTGCTTTCTCATCACCATCCCCATCTTCTCTTTCCCTCCCACCTGCTCCAAGCTCCCCATCCCCCACCCCCTTCTCCTGACACCCCTGGCATTCCTTTCTGGGCTCAATTATTTCTCAAAAATTTGCATACTTCCACTGTTGGCATCATCTAGTTTCCGGGAGAACAAAAGGGAGGCAGTGAAAGCCACATGGTGGAGTAGCAGCCAGGACTCCCAAGTCTGTGCCTTCCCCCAAAAGTCCAAACAGGCCCGCTCTAGGGCAAGACACTTACCCCATAAGCATCCACGATGAGCTGGAGAACGTTGCTGGAATCAGCAGACAGGACCCCCACTGTGGTGCCTGGGATGAGTTCACTGTAGTTCTAGAAAGGAAGACCCAGAGTCCCAAGTTGACTGAATGTCAGCGGTGACCTCCAAAAGCCCTCCCCAAATCAGACTGAGGATCTTGAATTGAAGACGGAGAGAAGGAGGGGGTGTCTTACTTGTCACTGCCAGGAATCAACCCAGCAGTTTTTCAGCCCTGAGCAAAACTATAGCAAACACCTCACACCCCTCGGCCCTTTATGTGTCTCCCCTCCACCACTACAAAGTCACGCCCCCATGCAGCTAGGTGGGGGGAGGAGCAGACAGAGACAGGAGAGAAGAATCAACAGCTCCTGGAAACACGTCTTTCCTGGTGGGATCATGGCCAGTGCTGGCCAGAGCTATTTCCCAGGAACAGGTCCCCCCTGAGCCCCAGGAAGCCCCAAAGACAGTCACCTGGTAGAGCTTGACCACCCTTTCAGTCACTGCAAAGATCAAATTGATGTTTTTCTGGGATAGCTTCTCAGTCATCAGCCCCAGAGATGGATAATCCTGGAAAGAGGGAGAGCATGAGGTTAGTGAAGGGTCTCACATAGCTCCTGGTTCTAAGCCTTAGAATATGGCTGCCTGGAGCTGTGACCGGACAGTGATGGCACTCATGGCTTCTCACTCATGATCAAATCAAGAAGAAGGGTCAGCAGAAGCACAAAATCAACAAGAGAGGTGAACTCCAGGAAGAGGTGAATGTGCCCTTTTCTTCCCACTCAGGTTTGGTGCACTCACATCACAGAGCAGCTCCCTCCTCTCTTGGAGTAACAGACACGACCTTTCCCTGACACATGCGGTAGTCCTGGGTGTGGGCTCCAGCCTCCTTTGCCATCATCGGCTACCCCTCTCCTGCTCCCACTTACCGCAGCTCTGGCCCTCTCTATTTCCCCCACCTGGAATGGGTTTCTCCCATGAACCTTCACACATAAGACTCAGATCAAGCCACAGTCCCCCCCACCCAGGCTCCCCAACCATCCCAGCTTCTAATGTGCCTGTGTGCCTGTCTCCTTGACAACCTCAAGCCTTATTGACTGTGCCACCCAGTTAGGGCTAAGCACACACCCCATCTTATCAGTAACTAAACTAAAAGCTCCCTTCAGTGAGACCAATAGTCTCTGTAGCGCCCAGCTCCTTTGCATAGAGGGGGTCAGTGGTTGCTGGCTCATAGTCACTGCCTAACTTGGGGATCGCTGACACCAAGGAATTCAAGCCACTCTGGGTAGGCAGGTGAGTTGTGAGCATGCCCTGGGATCCTAGATCTTACAGGGGGCTCCTGAAATCACCCAGCTCAGGCACCTGCTTTATACAGGTTTACCTTTAAGCCACCTAAAAGAGGTAGTTGCTATACTGTCTTTAAGAGATTTAAGAATTGGGCCCTCCCTGGTAGCGCAAGGGGTTGAAGGGCAGCACTCTGAAGCTGGCCGCAGCTGCTTCAGCACGAGTTCCAATCCCCGGCCAGGGAGTGACCCCCAGGGTGCAGCAGACCTCTCCTGTCTGCCCACTGCTCCCCTTAGCAGTGAACTTGTCAATCTGTCTGTTCTGCTCCCCACTCTGTCTCTGATGGATCTTCTCACCCCCTGCACCTCTGGCCTGTACCC